CTTTTTTCTTCTTCAACTGTCTGGTGTATTTGTAACATTCCATGCCCACCTATGCTTCTTGGTAAGTAGCGTTTGTCAACATCATTGCATATATGAAGGGCATGATTCATTGCCATTATTTTTCTGGTCTTCCTATCCAGGGCTTCTAGTTCTGCTTGAGTCCAGTCCACTATTCCTACTGTATATGTAATGAGTGGAATTGCCCAGGTGTTAATTGCCTTGCTGGTATTTCCTCCACTGAGTTTGGACTTTAAGATCTTCTTCACTCTCATGATATATTCACTACTATCCTTCTTATTTACTTCAATGTGCTTTATGTTGTCAGCTTGAAGGATGCCTCAGCCAACAGTCCTGAATTCTTTAGCCCACTTGTCACCAAATGTCCAGGAACTAGAACACCTAACATGATCCTTGTTGACCTGGGCGACAACCGATCCAGTATAGGTTTCTGTAAATTATGTCTCACCATATTGTTTATGGGAGAGATACTCTTCATCTGGCTTCTCTGATGAGACCTGTCCAGTATGGTTGAACCTCTCACCCTCCTTGGAGCATGGAAGCCCCACAACCACATGATGATGATAATGATGATGATTGGTCGCACAGTCAGCCAGCTGTTTAGACTGGATTTGGCATTTTTATCTACATTATTATTTTATTTCAGAAATTCTTTTTTATTATTCTAATTTCTGTGCAGATAAGGTTCTAAAGCATACCAAGAGCTGAAATGCTGCTTCTCTTTTAGCTTTAGATAGAAATAGTTACATATCCTGGAGGAGGAAAGGGGGGAGGAGGAGGAGGAGGAAAAGAAACTTTAAATGCTCTATGACATGGCTTCAAATCTTGACAAGAAATGAAGTAACCCACAGTTTCCCATTTGCACAAAACTGCCACAGGAAGAAGCTAGAACCTGTGATGGAAAGTGCCTAGTGATGCTGTTGATTGATCAGTGGAAGATTCATTTCTCTTCTCATTCAAACCTAAAAACAAATCTGGCAATGCCCTAAGTTATTTTATTTGAAGGTCGCGTTGGGCCATATGACACAGAGTACATTTCAGAAATAAAATTAGGTAATTACACCAGTGTAGAGAAAGTATGCTTCAAATATAAACTAGCTGACAATGTTGTGTAATGTGTAAAAGCTGAGTGCCAAATGCATAGCTCATGCTTCATTCTCTCGAATATCCTGACACTCTGCTTTAATTAAAGACTTATCTGTGAAAACACTTGCTTGGAACACTTTTTCACCTTCAAGGCATTTTAATTCCCACAGTCTGTTAATATACTACATACTGGTTTCTTAGAAAAGCAACTTTTTTTAAAGCTGCTTTTCCCAGAGAGTTTCTATGATGTTTGGGCAGCATTAAACTTGACAAATATAAATTTATACCAGTGTATCACAAGAAAGGCAGAGGTGTTACTCTACTGTGGTAAACTGATTTCATAACCTATTTTTTTCTTTCTTATATCATCTTGAATGGTGTAAATTCTATCATGCCGACCAAACAATTTGCATGAAGCTTACAATTGCTATTGTCTCAAGAGATGTGCACATATTACACTGAAGATATGTTCACACTGTAGGCACATCTGCTCAGATAGTTAGGAGAATTTACGTTTCTTTAAACATAAAACTTGGATGGGTGCAATAACACAGGAGAGATGGCATAGCTGTGCCAATTTTCAACAATATTTTATTTATACAATTTAGAGGCTGCCTGACTCCTGAGGACTTTGGGCAAATTAAAATACAATTTAAAAAGTAGGAACAGTACAACAAACAGCTTGATTACTTCTTGTTGACAAGGGAATATGGTAGGGATTGTATTCATATAAAGAAAAGCCTATGGACAGCAAGTTAAAGGTAGCTGGATGGATTCCGTTATCAAGGTAAGGGAAATAAACTATTCCCGTGTGTTACTAATCTGATTTCCACCGTCACCATTCACTCTGTTTAACTCAGCACAGTAATACAAAAGGTGCTAAACATGGCTTTCTTTCTTTTTCTCTTGTCTGTTTAAAGAAGGGCAAAGACCATTGAAGTGTGAGTCCTGTTCTTTAAAAACCTGAGTGTGCAGAATGCTTTGCTATTGTTATAGATCCATATTCTCCGGTGGCCCAAAGAAATGTCTTTGATGGAAATGGCAACTCATGATGGTCCATGAATTCAGCCACAGCTTCTTAGTTGCAGCGTCTATGATTCTAGCAGTGTCTTTCACTGGATCAGATATTTTGATTTACTGAGTTGCCTTAGTAACTCAATAAATACATTTTGGATGTATATTTTAGGAGGGTGTGTGTGTAAAGCCTGGCACGAAGGTGCTCCTGCCCTCTGCATCCCCATGTTTATTATTATTTTATCTGAAAAAAAAAAGCTACTAAATTCTAGAAATAAATACATTTAGAATTAGGGTGGGGGGTTCTCAAACATAATGTTTCTGAACCAAATTTCAGCCAACTGTAAGAAAGCTTAAGAATTGGGCTATCCAGTTTGATATATCTTAAAATGGTACTTGGCTAGCATTTGGCTTAAAATTTTGCCATGGTCATTAGAAACAAAATCCTGCCTTCAACCACTTCCAGCTTTGTTTGATCCTATTATTTTTCAATGAAATTAGACTAAGCCCTTAAATAGGAGCATGACATGTTATTTAAGTATCACCCACTAGAAACACAGTAAGGAGGGGAAGTTAGGAAATAGCTTTGCTGATATACCCATCACTTTGTTATCTCATGGAAGTTGCCAGGAATGGGGATCAGGCATTACGAAAAGATAAAATCTTCAATTAGAAGTCACTGACAATTCAGGATAGCCCAGGGTACAGCTGTTGCCAGAGTTATCGCAACAAATCAGTACATAGTGTGGACTCTGTCTCAACACCACAAAACTGTGTGGAAAATAAAGATTAAAAAACAACTAATCTATATTTTCAGAGTGGGGACACTCTTACTTGTACAGAGTATTATTTAACAAGGATTATTTTCTATTAGGTGTAATTGAGAGCAACAGAGCAAGGCATAAAGAGAGAATTTCAGCAGAAGAATGACTTCCTTAAATTTGTCTTATTAATAACCAAAGATGGCTATGTGACTATGGGGGGGGGGGAATTACTGACCTTTAAAAAGTCCAAGTGGCTTTGGAACACAGTAACCATTGATACTTACTGTCAGAGATGTGAAGGTTTGTATAGATAAAGACTGAGCAAGTGCAGATAATGGTTCTTTGGGCCTCAGATAGAAGAAATATAACACAGGGTGAAATGATTGTAAGACAGTAGAAGCAGAGCTAAGAAAGGCAGACCACTAGTTTAGACTCAAGCTTTACTAACTTTATCAGAAAAATCTCTATAGATCTCTGGTAAAATGAAATCAACCAGCTAAGTAATATTATGCCATTTTCTAAAACAGCCTTTACTAACCTTTAACATGCAATCAGTACATAACCAGCATACTCATTATTAGCTGGGATTATGGGAGCTGGAGTCCAACATATCTGGAGACCATCAAACTGGCAAAGGCAGCCTTACAATAAAGGGACATCCCAGCTATTCACACAAAGTTACTGGATAAAGTGTGTATGAGAAGAACAGAAACAGAAGAACAAAAGAAGGGAAGAAGTTTATCTGAAAGGCCGAGTAACATTACACACATATCTATATTTGGAGATGCTGCTCCAAATTTCTTCCATTACTTCCTGTCCTTTCTGAAGTAATCTCATCCAAATAAATGCATGCATGCATAAATCAATAAATCAATAAATAGAATAAGGAAAAAAGAGACATGTTCCTGCCATGGTTCACAAAGGCTAAGGGTTTATTGGAAATGCACAAAAAGTTCTTCCGTAACCAGTGCTGAAATACTTTGATATAAATATTTTGTGTTTTTCCAAAAAGGCATACTGAAAAGGTTAAAAAGGGCCAGAGAGGAGGGGGGAGCAATGAAGCATACTCAAGGTGCATTTGCAAATAATGTAAGGTTTTGTACAGTGTTTTTTGCTTTTGTTTTTGGAAGCATAATTGCTACATGGGAGAAGGCCAGTGAAACAAATAGACTGGTGATCTCATCAAAGTAATAATGGTTCATCACCCATGTGGGCTGCCTGATGTTCCAGTGACAGGAACAGCACGTTTATTTTCTGTAAATCTATTTGGATCAATTTACAAAGCAGTGAACGTTTGGTGCATTGCAACGGGAAGGGGGAGAAGAGTGATTTTTCTCAAGGGGAAAAAACAATTTTGCAGCAATAGGGGGAGAGTGAATGGAGATACGTATTTTTGAATGAGTGTTTTGACAAACATCTGATGATGTTTTAATAAAGGAAACACAGGAAACAGAAAATGCCGGTGCTTTCCAACCTACGTTATTCCTAATAATGAGAAACAAAACAGAAAGATAAAGAATGTGAAGAAATTGCTAATGCTGTAATGAGCACTATGAAAACCCGCTATCCTCTGAAAAATGTTTTAAAACCTTTATATGTTCTTTACAGTTCTTTGGTTCACACACCAAATGCTTCATCTGGTCAGGAAGGATCCCCCAAATTTTCATTGAATTTCTCTGTAGATAAAATTCAGTCACAACCTGATTTTAACTGGTGAGCCATAATTTTAGGCTGGCTTCATACATTGCATTAAGCTTTGGTTTATTTAACAAATAAACCAGAATTGGCCAAGTCCATGTAACAAAGCCGTACAACATGGTTTATGACCACAGGGCTAGAATCACACAAGTTAGACAAAAACCAGTCAAATCACATTAAGATTTAGCATAATGTGTGAATCTAGCTTTCAATATTTTCTTAGCCCTTTTTATTGTATGGGTCCAATGATTTATCCACAAGAAAATGGTTTGTTTGTTTGTTTGTTTGTTTGTTTAAAACATGTGTATGACTGCTGATCTTAAAACCAGACTCTGGGTGGCTCACAACCAACGAATAAAACAAACACCAAAATCAAAGCAAGAACAGAAAAACCTGGCATCGCAACAACACTTCCCTGATGCAGCCCACAATACTCTTCCCCACCACGCCAACCTCACCCGATCCCAATGTTTGGGGAAAAGCCAGCTCGTAAGCACTTTCCAGAAGGTTAACAGGGTGGGGGCCTGCCAGATCTCCAGGGCAAGGGGCTTCCATAGGGCAGGGGCTACAACGGAAAAGGCACACTCCTGAGGACCCGCAAGGTGGCAATGTTTAAGGGAAGGGACCTGGGGCATGCCTACTGCTGGGTTGGGCAGATACTCTCAGGGAGAGTTGACATTACCTAAGCAAGAATCCATTTTACATATTCTGAAACCATCAAGGAAGTTTGCATGTGGGTGCCTATACATTCAGGACCAAAGTAGGACATGTTTCAGCTAGGAGCGTTCTGACAAATTCTTATAGCCACAGCAGTTGTGGAAGAGAAATTTAGCCTTATTCTTTCTTGCAGACATCCTGACAAAATTCTTTTCTGAAAAGGTTAGCTGCTTTGAGAGGAATCCTCCCTTGGTAGTAGTCTGGAGAGCCTCTTGATGCAAACGCCAGCTTCCTTGTAAGGATGCTTTTCTGGACCACAGCTGCCTGGGTGAGTCTCCATTGCAAGCCTCCTCCAGCTAATGCAATCTCTCATGTGCTGAATGCTCCCCCCACCCCTCGCTCCCCCCTCCCCAGAGAAGACAAAGGGCCTGTCGTCCCAGCACTGTACAGCCCCCCTGCTGGGCAGCATTCAATGGCCTAAAACCAGATAGCTCACATGATGGCTTCATCTCTGGCAATGGGAGGGGCTTCCTCCAGGACTTTGGCTTGGCAGAAGAGTCAGTCTGATCTGGCAAAGTTATCTTGGTTACACCCTGCTGAGATTATTGCAACTGTGCTTATGAAGGGATGCTCTGGTGCATCTAGAGCGGTGTCTCTCAACCTTTGGCACGTTTAAAAGAGTGGGTGTCCGTTTTCCCAGT